ATCTCTTACCAAAACAACAGTTTATAGTTTAAACTGTGAAATTGTATGTGCGTGTGTGTGTGTGTTGTAATTATGGTGCCTGCTAACAATTTCATACTGCCACATTGCACATATGGCTTCCAAGCTAGCTTTATCTGAATCTCTGTGAATCTATTCTCTGTGCTATTAAACTGAGCACATTCCACATCGTTCAAAAGTAATTACACTTTTGTCTAGAGTGTAGGAGACTGCTCTCCCCAAACAATGAAATTCTCATTATTAGAGCTGGCACAATAACGGCACTGGTGTTCACAACACTGTGCATTGTACCATCACAATAACTTATCCTAAGCTTGATGCACAAAGGTACACTGGAAATTAAAATTTCTCTAAAACCACTGTGGTTTTTTTTTAAAGAGACATTCTTTAGCTCAGTATAATTAGAGTCCTATTTGACTTTTAAAAAGCTATATGCATTCAGATTTCCATTTTCTTTGCAACTTCGGAATAACAGCTAAGTGCTGTAGTCGCACATTGTTCTGATCCAGTACTATTCACATGGTATTCACAGACCAACAGGTGAAGTGCAGGCCAGGATGTATATGATAAAACAATTCAAAGACAGCATTAAACAATATTTTATTTTGGACAAGTGGAAGAAAAGCATGAAGCAATGTGTTGGCAAGCTCTTTGACCAGTAGTACTGTTATTCTTAATATGACCAAAATTTCTTAATATTATTCCCAAGTTAGAGGAATAACTTAATTCACCACAGAAATGCAAGATTTTTTTTTAGTGTGAAGCAATAAAGCTACTTAAGAGTGCACTGCAATATTTACTATCACTTGAAAGCACTGCTGAAGATGAATTCTAAATCCCATTGAAAGTGAAGGACAAACATGGGCTAGCAGTGCAGTTACACAGTTTAGAACTACTGGACAGTGGCAAAATTACACCTTACCAGTTTGATCTTTTGGTCAGAATTTCCTTTTTGGTTTTTGTTTTTATTTGGGTTGGGTTTTTTTAATGTCGTCCAGCATTTGATTGATATTCTACAGTTAAGAAGAATGGTCAAATTTGACCACAGCATAATGTGTCCATGGTATGTTTAAATCAGTGCTTTTAGCTTTGACATCTCTTACTTGCAGAAATTAGCACACAGACATCGCTGGTGAGATCACTCGTCTTGAGAGGTTACAAACGCAACATGGTAAGGCAGACAGAAATAAATAAAATAAAACCTCATAACTTAGATGAGCTAACAACTATCTGCGCTATTCAAATACTGTAGCCTTATTAGCTTTCTTCAGAAGAGGGACTGACTGATACTGTAATCCTCAAGTGTTTCCCCACTAAGCTTATGGCCTGCTATGAATGTGCTAAAGGGACTTGATATATTCTAGGTCGAATGATCTGTCTTGCATTTTCTACTAAGCCTTTGGTTTAAGTCTGACAAATTGTTGTTTCTTTTCTTATCAGTGGAAGAGCTTTCCTACTTAAAATAAGTATCTATTTTCTTCTATCAAGAGGGAGAGAGTTTTGGATAGAGTTGCCCCTGCCTTTCACAGAACCACAGAATGGTTGAGGTTGGAAGGCACCTCTGGAGGTCATCTGGTCCAACACACATACTCAAGCAGGGCCACCTAGAGTCAGCTGCCTAGGACTGTGTCCAGACAGCTTTTGAATATCTCCAAGGATGGAGATTCCACAACCTCCCTGGGCAACACATTCCTGTGCTCAGTCACCCTCACAGTAAAAAGCATTTCCCGATGGAGCCTCCTGCATTCCTGTTTGTGGCCACTGCACTAACCTTTATCTGTCTGCAGTTCCTTCATCCTCAGAAATACCCTGTTCATTTTGATGGCAAGATGGGCTTCGCAGCTTTTTGCCAATTTCGGTTAGGTCTGAAGATTTATTTCCAGGGATTTTGAACTCCTTTTATAAAAATTTACCCAGCATTTTGAGCTGTGTCTCTATGTTAGCAGTTGTTACAGCTTCGTAAAGTGCAACAGGGTAAATTTTCAAAAGTCTAAGTCAGGTAAACTGTTATCAGTCTGGTTCAGTCAGCCCTTTACCTTAAGAATCTTAGGATGTCCCAGCTGGCAGAACTTGTAAAAGGAAGAACAGCTGCAAGTAACCTATGAAACAGAGGGTCAATTAGCAGCTAGAAAAGTGAGGCCAAGAAATTGATTCTCAAGGTTGAAGTTGTTTTCCTAACTGCATCTTCATGACCCAGTGCTGATAGGCAGACTATGAGGAAGCAGGGATGGCTGTGGTGACAAGAGGAATTCAGCTTATGCAGCCTACTGATGGGACAAAGCTGTGTAATTCCATAACTCTTCCAGATCCCTTGGCTGTGGCTTTCTGCTGAGATTGTTCTCTAAGCCAAATGGGTGTTGTACACGTAGCTAACACAGAAAGATCTCTCTGAATCTAGAACATGACTATCTAAGAATCCCTTCAGAGAAGTGTCTTAGCCAACAATCACACACAAAGCAGTATAGTTTAGAGGAATGCACCAGGGTGATGCACTAAATGATTCTGGACTGGCTAAATATCTAATCCTGCCTTATTGGATGTTGGAGAGATCTGTAAAGTTGAAGAGATGTGTAAAGGTGTACCCTGCAAGGACAGCACGTGGCTGCAAAACAAGAACCACATAGTCACTTGCAGACTCAGTCAGTAGGTGTAGTAGTACAGCTGACAAGCTGCTAAGAAGTGCGAAGCATACTGCTGGAGTTTATCAATAAAAGTCTACGGGACCACACTGTGTGGTGGTGTGTGCACATGTACACACACACACCTGGATTTGCTTCCCAGAGACTAAAATAGCACAGAATGTCAATTCAAGCAGTATAAAAATGACCTCTGTAATGCTACCAACGTGAATACCCTTTGGGAATGACTCATAACTGCTAATCACCCAAACTGAAGTAATCTGAAAGTTATCCAAGCACTAGGTTCAGTTACTTCTTAGTCCTGTCTACCACAACAGCAGAGGGAGTGATTATGTATATTTTACTCATTTACACTGATCACTTCCTTCTTTCTGGAGACACATAGGTTACATGCTTTCTGATCTACCTGGATGATGATTTTTACAAGACACTCCTCACTAAAACAGAGATATTACCAAAATGTCTTATTTCATACAAATTGGTAACTTTTTTAAACACATATGAACACAAAACCAGTTCCTACAACCCACCAAACATGCTTCTGAGAAGCCTACAGCATCTCACTACTGCAGCAAAACTGTCTGAAACATGAAATAATGCCTTATCTTCTATTACAAAGAGACAGAACACACTGTTTTGACATCACATTAAATATAGCCTTCATAGCAGGAAGCCACACTAGATGATCAGCTAAACTTCTTGATCTTAAAAACTATAAATGAATAAAGAAGTTAATTAAAAATCAGTTAAAGAGAATTTAAGTGTTTCATCAGGGCGTAGCTAAAATACTCCTGTTGGGCTCCTTTAGAAGACAGTGAGTTTTAATTTCATTAGGGTCTGATTCTACACTACTGGTGTCATCACAAGTTTCTCTACTGACTTAAATGTTCTCAGGAACAACCCCTTATCTTCAGTACATTCTCTTAAAATAGGCCAAAATACAGCAAAGCTCATACACTGGTTACACACCCTAACATCTCACTGGCTGGAACTGTATATTAATGAATTACATCTCCATAAAACATATGATAAAGGATGAGAAGTAAACAAGCTAGAAAAAGATAATGACATGTCTGTCCATGAGTAATTTTTCCAATGATGTTCTTTCTTCATTTAAAGTTGCAACAGGACAAAGCAAAACTAAATATTCTAAACCACTGTCTGAAATTAAGCATTAGACCAGAAAGGAAGAAAAATGGATCAGAATCAGTGGGTTATTTTGTCTAAGAGTGCAGTTTCAGTGACTTGGTCCTATGAGAAATAATAATCCCTAAGGCTTTTTACTTAGGGCTTGTTACGTATGCATAATGAGCTGTAAGGGCTTAAATACCACTATGAAGCTCTTGCAGGCTTTTACGAGAATACACTATCACCTAGGCTTTTTTAAAAGCCTTCAGATTTGCAGGTCCATTCATTATCTTCACTTAAAGTGAAATTGGCAGTGCCCTCGTCAAAGTGAGGGACTAACAGAAAAGTTACAGTCAATTTGTAAACAGGCAAGAGCTGTGTAAGTGTGTTCACAATAGACAGCTTTGCCGAGGTGCCCAAGTCCTGGGATTTCAATGCCTTTCCCTACACCTTTCAATCTTTATAAAAATGTTCTACGGTAGTCAGCATGAAGGGCCCAAACACATCATGTTACAGTAGTGACACTACCATAGTAGTGAGGAACCCTGCACTGCTTTTTGTTCTTTTTGTTCGTCTGCTTTTAGATAAAACCAGTTCTGGACTTCCAGCAGGCTGCTAAATGTAAGGAATTAAGTGCACAGTGTCATTTGTAAAGTGCACAAAAAGGTGGGAATTCACAAGTGAAAAGAGTAGTAGGCTGTTTTAATTCCATAAGCACAGCAAATTTTCTTGCAGGTATCTGTGGCATGTGAAATACACATCAGATGTGAATTTTTAAAACCAGCAAAATCTAAAGTTGCTTTTTCTACACTTTATACAGATTTCCATGCCTTACTATTGCATAAAATCAAGCATTGTGGTCATATTTCAGACACCACTCCAAACATGACTCTCACCTACAGTGTTTCAAAATCATTTACTGTTTGCTGAACACATACACTTCAAATTCACATCACTGTAGCTAAAAATTTTAGCACCCTAAATGCCAGCAGGCAAAGGTGAGGAAAAGTGGAGTTTGCGCTGCAAGTGATTTATCATTTGTAGCAGAGGGTAAAGGCAGTTCAGCTAGGTCAAAGCTTTCATGCTATTGTAGCATGTTCTGTACGTGTAACTGTGCACTGTACACTCCATAAAGTACAGATCTGGATGCCAAGCTACTGTAGAGGCAGAATTCAAAGAATAGATGTAAGCACAATAGACCATTAGCAAACCTACCATTGTGTTGTGCTGAGAAGTGGGAGTCCTATGGCCACAGTTCTCTTGCGTCAGCAGAGAAACTGGCTGAAATTCCTCAGAGTGAGGCTTGTTGGGAAAACTCACATGCAAGGGAAGGTGAAAGGCTGGGAGCCCGTCACTCTCCTCTTCTCCCACTTTCTGTCTGCTTGTCACCATGGCTACCTCTCCATCTGCTTCCCCATACGGAGAGGCTGGTCGCTTGGAAGACATCCTGGAAGGAACAAAAGAGGAGAAAATAATGAAACCTCCAAATAAATCCTTAATGCCGTCATTGTGTGGTTAGGGGCCATTGTAACAGAAATGCCTTTTTTGTGCTAGCAGAGAGCAGGAAACCATCCAAATACCACTGCAAAGCATACACAATTGGGAACAATGGCCAAGCAGGTAGCAACAGAACAGTGGCTTGTTTGTTGTGAGAATAATACACTAATATAGCACTCTCTTGTATTCTGGCTTCTTAAACATGAAAATTCACCTAAGAAGGCTGTGTATAAAGAAATGCAATTGCTTTTAAAAAATACCCATCTGTTTTTGCATTTGCAAGAGACTGTAAGAAGATAGAATGTCTCCTGATACAAGCTATTGTCAACTTAGCTTTTAAGGAATAATCCTCTGCACGTATTTAACCCAAACTGATAAAAAAATAAAATAAAATAAAATACAATAAAATAACTTGCTAGCAAGCCAGAACGTCTGTGTTTATAGAGCTTCATCCATATGAACAACAGTGTGTTATAGTCATGTTGCAAGAATCCTTTCAGGTTCACAGATCTGGGACAGTTAAGCAATTAACCATTTGGACATTAATAATCCAAGCTTTCTGAAAACACAAATTCAGGGTTGCACTAAGTGAATGAAGATTTGCTACCAAGATACCCTATACTTCCTACCTATAGCCAGATCAGGAAAACACACATGTAGATGTAGTTTACATCTGTATCTATATAAAAAAGGATACACAAGGAAATGAAGTAGAGTACATATTGTAAAAATCACACACAGATCTTGACTTAAAATTCAGGCCCACATTCTGAATTTTTGAGACTGCCTGATAACACTGTCCTGATAGCCTATGTGTATCTTCAACTTTTAGAAACTAAGACTGAAAGAATCCTTACATCATTGGGAAATCCAGTTTTCATCCAAACCAGACACTACTGAAAATTTTAAAGGACAGTCTGAACCCAGAACACTTCCAGCTTGGTCTTCAAAATAGAGGGGTCCAGTGAAGTATTAAAATGCTGAAGACTTTTGGGATTAATTACAGCAACATTGTTCATGAAAATCAGGGTGTATGCATGGATGGCATAATGGGCCACTGTGCTAAGCAGGGGCATCTGTAAGAGAGTGGAATGACAACTAAGAAAATCTATAGGCATAGTCAAAAGAAGAAAGAAAAAAAAGAGGAATATTTCATGGAAAATAGGAACTTATGAACAAGGAAACTGAAGACTATTGTATGTACAAGTTGAAAAGACAGGCTGAAGTAATACTGCTCCTCCTCAAAAATCTAGTATTTATGATTCTAATTACCCCATTTTGATTTTCCACTTCACAGTTGAAGGACTGCATTTCAAAAGCCCGGCAGCCTCTTGAACCATGTGTGGGGCTGCTGTGAGGTGGAGCATGTCCATACGATTTGGCATATTGAGCACGAAATGGTTCTTAGCAGCAGTCAACTGGGTCTGAAAACAAACAGTGACTTTAAACAGCCCTTTGTTAGGACTTATTTTGTTTCTAATGATCTCATTTTGAGCTTTGCCTCCTGAGCCAAGTTAGATTATATTTTAAAACAACAACAACAAAAAAATCCCTAGCAGAACATACACTCAGCTGCACATCGCTTGTTCTGAACACCACCTATTGCCTGTACATAGAGAAGCAATCTGTATTTTCTATTAATGTTTGACTTAGTCCAACAGACTAACACTTCATACATCCTACCTGAATTCTGTCTTTTAGGCTTTCCCACCTACGTGTCTGCAGTGAAGCATATGTATGAAGACAGAGATCACCAGATAGACTCTTACTGGCAGTTTTCTAGTAGCCCACTGAATTCAGTATTTTACAGCTATGTTTGACATGACAGATCCCAAGCTTTTCTTCTGCAGGCACCATGCAACTCCCTCCTGAAGTTAATGTGAATTATTCATATTCTGCATTGCACTGCATCAAGATACACATTTGCTATTGATTTTGTGTGTAACATTTTGGTTACTCAATTCAATGCTGCCTTAATAGAAGCTTGTGTTTTCAGAAAGCGAGATTTTGTGAAAATCAGTACAAAGCAGTTGTCTCAATTTTGGCAAACAAAAAGAGAGGGATATAAAATCATTAGTCAATTATTCCACAGTAATGTTCTATACTTTACAACACTTCTATTCGTTAACATCACAGAAAATATTTAAACGATCTACAAAAATCTCCACTACAATCCACTTTGACAAACAACATATAGAGACCGTGCCTTGCTTTGTATTGATTTGTATTATATACTATATACCCTAACTGTGTTAAAAACTCCTACTCCTGTTAACCCAGATTCTGTCACATTGCTTCACAAGGAGAGTTTGACTACCATGTTGAAATAAAGCTCTTCCACTAACTTTATAAATGAATATACAGTTTCCTCTACTATGTTCGGTTAGCACACTGCCACATTGCAAATCATCACTACCTTCTGCTTGTCGCTGTTCCCAACAGGGGCAATAACATTTTCTGTGGGGAACTTTATAAAAAGTTGACCACCTCCATGCACTAGCAATAAATGAGATTATTATCGTTCCGATCTAAACCAAAAATCTGTGGGTTGGGCTGTAGGCCTAACAGTGATACTAGAATGCGAAGAAGAAACTTTTTTCTTCCTCATGCAGCTCTTAAAAGATCCAGTTTAAATTACAAGACACATGCCCATCACAATGCTAGAAGGCTAACAAATTGCTAAAATGCCTAAGGCAGTGAAGTTAAGGATCTACTCTGCATTACTTTTCCAAGTGACTACAACACTCAACAAAATGGATTCACAACCCTAAATAAGGGTCACACAGCTCAGATGAGGACTGCAATTTGTTTCCAGGTAGCTCTGTTCATAGCCAGCAGGCATAATCCGGCCTTTCAGAAATCTGATTGTCCCCTCTAACATCAACCACAAACACTGGAGTTTTGCAGAAATTACTTACTCCTTATGAACATACAGGAAATTTCCACAAGAAAATGGAAGATTTAAGTAACTAAATAAATCTATATCTACTTATGGAAAAGTCTTCCAAAAGGATAATAACTATCAAAGCCTATAGCAGCACAGGATCACACCTCTGATAGGTTCATGAGCAGAAAACAACATCATAAGATATAAATTCATTCACAGATGGTCTTTCATTATTTCTACAGCTCTGTTGGTCCCTCTTCTGAATTTGAAATGCTCCCACACCATGTATCCTTGAATTATCTTTTCATACATCTTCATTTTCCTGCTGAGCTAATACTAGGTCTTAACAGATTCTGTATCCAAGATGCAACTGGAGTTCCCATTATAAACAATAAGGAAAGGGAAACAGCTAAATTCTAAGAAACAACATTACCTGAAACTGAGGTTTTTTTAAACAGCTATAGGTCTAATGATGGGCTGGAATTAGCCCATCTTAAACAAAGGACTGAAAATATCCTGGAACTACCCTCAATGATGACAGTTTACCGCTTACATGACTTGAAGATCTTTTCCTCTAACTAATTTAAACACAAGGGTTTTCAGTTATACCTCTGAAAGGTTTCAGTTTAACCTCTGAAAGAAGGTTTACAATGAGAGGGGAAACATCAATTTCCTGAAACATCAATTTATGGATAGGATTAAAAAAAACCCCAAAAAACAACAAAAACCCCAAGATATAACTCTCAGGAAAGTAGCAGTACAGTGGACCAGATTCTGAATCTCAAAGGGTGTCTCTGCAGATGAAATCTGCTGCAACTTAAGACTTGCAAGAAGAGTTGCATTTTGAAATGTCATTAATCATTTCTACTGAAAATTTACTATTGTTTATATTAAGACAACCGAAATCTGCAAAGTTCTGACACAGTGGAACACAGTCAGTACTCAGCCCAATGCAGAGACACATCAGAGTTATGAAATGTATCCCCATACTTGATTTTTATCAGTGGTTAGGATGGAATTGAAGATTTAGTTCTGGTGAGGAACTCAAATACGACCTTGTTTCTTGTAAAGGGACTCTTTTATCTCTTTTTTGGAAACGCTTCTTAATATGCAGAAATTGCAGTAAAAAAACGCCTTTTGTTAAATTTTCATTAAATAAACACTTTTCCTGGTAGAAAGAATGTTTTTTTCAGGGAAGTAAAATCTCACTCAACTCACTCATCCCACAATTATTTGACATGATCCATCTTACAATAGCTTCTCTACGTATTTCTTTACTCTCCTTCAATTTACAACAGACTCTTTGTAGGCTTAAACTGATACCCTGTGTCTATTGATCTCAGTGTTTTTGGACTGACTTCAGCATCGCTAGATTTTCCCACTGGAAAGAGTAAGAGCTACACTGCATCCACATGAATTGTTTTCTCATGTCATCAACAAATATTAGTTCCATCCAAATAATTTCAGAGTACCAAATAACATTATTTCGTTTGTTGGGTTTTTTTCCTCCTTGAGTTCAGTGCCTCACAAAAGTGATATTTCCACAGCACACTCTAAAAAAAAAAAAAATTATTATTTTTAACAGAACCTCATTTAAGTGTTACCACTACACTTCCATTTGTTCATTGATTCTAGTTCATTTCATACATGATTGTATACCCAAAGTAAATCTATAATGGTATCCAGTATTCAAGGAGATAGTGCCCTCTAGCACACAACCAGCATCCATCTCAATCTGATTGCTCATGCCATAACATTTAATAAAATTTATGTCATAAAACTCTGATCTTGTTACATTAAGCAAAATACCTCAGAAGCATTTCAGATACCCACAAAAGCTCTTGGAGAAATGGCTTATCCATGTCTTCAAAAGTGACAAACACAGATGTGTCAGGGGAAAAAGATATGAGGCCATAAATCTTAACTTGTTGGGAGTTAATTAAGGGATTCATCAATCATTACACAGCTCGCCCCATATATATACAGGCAAAATCCCATCAGCTGCCACAACCCACAGAAATCTACAGGTTAAAAACTTCCAAAGTCCCTCTGTGTTCTGACTATTTATAAATGACTTTGTATAATCTAGCATTAAGACCTGCAATTATAAAACAGCATTAAAACAGGCCTGCATAGTTATGGATAATTATAGTTGGTACACTTTTTAAAGAAATAAAAAGCTTTTCTATTCAAACACAGGCTTTGCCTTTTTGACAGCTCCAAGTCCACAGGATGTAGCAAGATGATTTAAATTGTATGTCAAAATTTTGACTGTGCAAGACTTTTTTTTCCCCTTATCAAGAGAGGCATTGTTGTTTTCTCACCATAACTAGGCGTGACAGCGCCTGACTGGAGTCGCATAGCCAGTTTCTGAATCGGCATGAAAATGTTCACCTCTTGAGTTTCTCTGGCAGCTATAAACTAAGTCTTTCTCATGGGTACGGTTTAAATCACTCAGCCTTGTGCATTGGAGACAGGCACGGGGCTGCATTCTGAAGAGATGCACAAGGACAAGACAAGCAGATCTGATCCTCCAGCAGCAGTGTGGAGGGTCACTCCAGCTACCAACAGCACCAGGAACATACTCACTAACATGGGCTGATTCCAAACCAAATGCTATACGCTAAACCAGTCACAGGAACTTCAATGGGATTCAAACTGACTCTCCCCCTGATCTGCAGGGATACTTGCCTCTAATTAAAGTACATGTTGGAAATCCACAGAGTCTGCGTTTCCAGAGGAAATACTTATGATTACAGACAGCAGCAGCATCACATACAGCTAATGTGTAAGCATACACACACACAAATATAGATGCACAAACAAAAACTTATCCAAAATGTCAGCAATACGTCTGCCTCATCTCTGAACATATTTAGAACTAATAAGATGGTTCATACTCCCAGGTTTACTGAAGCTATGATCTATAGACAGCCTAAGCAAAAGGTCCAAGTTAATACTAATGACTGTCTCCATTCCATTCTGGCCCCAAATTCACTCATTATTTATGCACACTGAATAACTAGTACCTTTAAAAAAAAAAAAAAAAAATCCAACTCTGCTCGTTTTGACAGGATTACTTGTGTAATAAGTATTACTCAACATGAGTAAGGGTGGCAGACTCCTACACTCTGTCCCACTGGGAACTGCAAACCCAACTTGTTTCTACACACACCACTAAAAACAGACTTCACTTGGCAATATCTTTGAGTCATTTACAGCCTGGTTTAGAATTCTTTACTGAATTAATTTTACAATTAAAAAAAAGAAGAAAAGAAAAAAGAAGCAAACCTCTCTAATCTGCTAATCAATAAAAATGTGCACGAAACATGCTCTCATCTGTCACTCACACCGAGACAGAATAATCTGTTAATTATTACTTTCTAAGACCGTATCAATCAGCCATCTTTTAAAATGCACATATGTTACAAATAAGTTGAGTTATTTGAAAAGGGTTTTGGTGAACAAGTCATTCTGTCAATACAAAACAAGATCTTCATGGCTCAACCTGTGTAATGTTTCTGTGCGGTTGTCTATTACTATAGCTGTCACAAGTAAACCTGTGGTTAAGGCTACCGAGTAATTTCCATTTCACCTAACTCACTTTTTCCCTTTTACTTGCCACATTTCCTCTGTGTATGGGGTAACTTTAACAATTTTCTTTAGTCCACCAGTTTAGAAGACTCTGAATATAAAACAGGCAGGGAATATGCTATTCTCTACCTATTTTAAAGTTTGCATTTTAAAATATATTAAAGTATCAGCAGCTTGGCTGAAAACCTGATATTCCACGTATTGTAGTTTTTTTGAGAAAAGGTACTGTTCAAAATCCCAGTGGTAAATGGTTTAATTTTGACAAGTTTTGAAACCCACAAATAAGAAAGTTGTTACAAATATAGTTCAAAAAACTTAAAAATTTGGTGACGTTTTTCTTTTTTTTATTAGAAAAATGAAAAAATACTTGCTGTAAACTCTATGCTCTCAACTAAAACTTCGCATCTCAATTTTGTTGCATTTACAAGGAATTCATGCATGAAAAACCACTGTAAAAATCAAGTCTAGGAAAAATACATTGTGACCAAAAATTCATACTGAATGTTCCCAACGTGCATTATGCTAAGATTTTTGTTGACCTTTTGAAGCAGGTAACTGGGAAAGACTCTTTGTGCATGACTAAATTGTTTAGTGAAATACTCTAGTCTGAAACAAACCAACCTTCAACCAAAACAGAATTTTTAATGTGATGAAGGAAATTCTGTCAAGATACTATATTCTATTACTGCAAAGATTCTCACCCAATTCTTCTGTAGATCTCCTACAGGTCTCTTTGCATTATTGTTCCTGTTTTGTTCAGCAACTAGCAGAAGTTAAAGCAGGAATGTTCAGTGATTTACCCAGAGCACACATTCAAAATCAGCTTTAGCATGAAAACCTGTATCTTGTTTTTGTTTGGTACCTGTCAACTTCATGAGCCTTTTTTTTTTTTTCCACTAGTCAGTATGTCAGCTAAAGGAGCCAAAAATCTAACAGCACGTTTACAAACCAGAAACTAAAAAAAAAAAAAAAAAAAAACACCACCAAAACAAATACAAACAAACAAACAAAAAACACCCCAAACTTAAAAACCTGGATTTTTTGAGAACTGCTCAAAACTAGAAGAGGAAAATAGTAATAACGTTGTGAAAGCTACAGGCAACATTAAATTGTAATGGTGCAGTGTCAAAGACGATGAGCATCTATCAGCACAAACTTTGAAACAGCAGGATGCAGCCATTGTTGATGTTTCAAGTAAACTGAGCCTGATCACTGGCTTCTTTCATGCAAAAGACTCTGCTTGGATGATTCTGAATGAAATCCACAAGCACATTTATTTTCCAGTGCATCCTCAAATTAACTCTGGCTTCCTTACACCCCGCCCCAACCTTTTAGAAATGTACCTCGCTGAACTCTTCAACTTCCCATACATCTTGCTTCTTAACTTTTTATTATTATTTTACATTTTTCCTCATATCATAGCAGAATAGCATTGTGGTTTTATTCTCATGTAAAGTTTTAGTAACTGCTCACTGCTGAAAATATTATTGCAATCACTATGACATGAGGTAATCATCACTCGTCTGCCTGCTGAACTGCAAAGAGGAATCTAGTCAAATAATTAGAGATTTCAGGCCTTGAAATTTCACTGTACAAACTAATACTTGAAAATGACAGAAAAGAAGTCAGTCAGTCTCCAGACGCTGAGTGGGAGAGCTGTGCTGCATGCTACAAGGAATCCATACATCACACACAGACATGCATACCTAATTTCCATTGACATTGAGTGAAATGAAGGCAAGGAGTTGAAAAAGCTTTAAAATTATGACAATTATGAATGACTTACATATCACAAAGAAATATGATGAAGCATGGGCTCATTCTGAAAAAAGTTACCTAATATTAAAACTTTTGCAATTTAGGGAGCTTATTCTTGGTCACTCATACTCTTTATTTGTCTAATGAAGCCGACAAAGTTTTCTTCAAGCATTACTAAATGATGAATTACTTTCAGTAGAATCAACATTAATAATATGAATTCCCTCCCAAAAGACACCCAGATTTCAGTACAAGAAGCCATTCTGATTGAGATCTTGGTAAAATATGACACAGCTTTTCCCACTCTTCATCATGTCATGGCTCAGTAATGGGAGTGCCAAAGAAACAGCCATTGAGCTTCAAGCCCCCTCTCCTTTTCCTTCTCTTCCCTTACTTACATTTCAAACTCAACAAATGGATTTTTTTTTTTTTCAAACAACAACAACATTCCCTTACCAGAGTTTGTATAGTCACAAACAAACCAGAAACAAGGAAATAAAAACAGTCTCTGTTTCTCCCCACTTCACTCTGAATTTCCCTATTGGTAAACTCAGAATAATAGATGTATATTGTATATATGTGTGCTTCTAATAAATGTACATATAATTGCACTTATGAAATAATTTTCAATATACGCACTAATGTTTATGCATCTGAACTTACAGTATCATTCTACCATTATTATAGAAATTCTTGCTCTGACCATCACTTGCACATGCATTATCATCATGTCTATCACTTTACAAAAAAATGCAAATAAACACAGGAATACATAAGCACATACACTTACAAGTGCATGTATTATATGCTTCCTGGTAAAACAGATCATGCTAGTGAAGTATGTATGCATATCCATTCATAGCTTGAGCTTGCATCGCTGAAATATTTGGCCTCTAAATAACTTTAGTGGAAGTAGAATTGGGTGTGTGCCTTTAAGAATTACATGTACAGTGAAACATTTTTTCTGTGTGCGTATGTGTAAAAAAATACACTCAGGAAGAGCAATGCCTCTAACAGATGTAAACATCTTTTTTTCCAACAGGTTAATTCCAGCTGTCTAGAATTTTTATTATTTTTTTGTTCACATGCATGTGTGTGCTCCCCCACTTTTGGAGGGTTTACATATGACAGGTGCATTCTTGGACCAGGAACAAATAATCCTAGAGAGCCCAAGAAAGAAAGAGCATTTGAAAGAAACAGAATTTGAAAATAAAATTACATGGGATAAATATATTATTGACTTTCTATTATGTTAAAAAACAAAAAACACAAAAAATTTTGAACATTGATGTCTATGCAATTTGAGGTAGAATTTTTAAAGCTGAAAAGAAATTGTTCCAAAGCCCAGATGTTGCCTTTCAGAAATGAGTGAAAATTGTTGCCTCTGAAAATTACTCTGAAATACAAATAGAGTAAAACAAAAATTGTTTAAATAAAAATAATGTTATTCAGACATTCTGACATTCCTAAAGAAAAGATGTTTTTCAAGTGTTTAGGCAGTTTTGCACTCCTGTCTCCTTCAGATTCTGCAGAGTCATGTCATCTCCATTACAACAGATGACTGCATGAGAGATAAAATAGAAAAGGCTTATGGTACGATGTGAGGGATCCTGCATCACTCACTGTTCATATTGTACTGTGAAGTCTTCTTCAGTTGTCTTGTGAAAGGTTAACATTTGTTGTATTGTTTTCACGGTTTTTATTCATAAAACCATAACAATTAAAAATCTACGTTAATAAACGTGTGGTGTGTAATCACCCATCATAGCACATGTCCATTCACTCACAGTAATATCTCACTTGTGTAATTTTCTGATTTCTGAACATTCATGTCCAGTTTAAAGCACTATTGAACACTTCCCAAACTGTTGCATGCACATACTAACATGCTTTCTCATCGCTGTAACAGCATATGTAGGTAACTGGATTGACTTCAGCTCACCACTACCTAAAAGCTCATTTTTTGCTTTATCTGATTCAAGAAATGCCTGTAAAATTTCAAGAGAAAAAACAATCATAAACAGGTAACAATTACCCATCTTAACAAACATTAACCCTAGATACCGCTCAAGCTGTTAGCTAAGAAAAATATATCTATTAGTCATATAACACACAAATACCTTTGAACAAATAAATGCATATTGGTATGTGAAATAAAAACAAATCCACAAATAACAAAGTTATATACTATTCTAATTAGACAACATACCTTAGGGACCATAAGGAGTCTCAAATTTTACTTTAGAAAGGCTGAAGTGGCAGGCACTGAAACACTGTTGCAAAAAAGACATCCACTTGAAAATTCATCTTTAGAAGTTGGGGGGTACAGTGGAAAGGAGGAAAAAAAAAACCCAAACCAGTATCCTTCCCTCCAGGGGAAATCTGAGGACATGTGCCATTCACCCTTCCACAGGTATTTTGTCTACCTTCATGTCTGTTGTTCAGCAGTGATTCCCATCCAGCTCCACAAAGACACAGCTGTATAAACTAAGGCTGTCAAAGAACACAGTTAGAGGGATGGATAAAACAGGGAGAGGGTGTCTAACACACTGACCACTGACTGAGCTTGCAAGGATAAAGAAGCCTTGATGGAGAGAAGTAATCATCCATTGCTGTTTGTTTATTTTACCTCCTCCACCACATACTGAAACCTTTTTTTGTTTTTTCCATTACCAAAACCATCCCCCACTGAGAGGGCTTTGTGATCTAAAAGGGGCAGAGCCCCTCTTTCTCAGCACTGGCACGTTTATGTAGACAGATTCACTCAAACACATCTTAAAATAAACATTTGGCTCTTCTTCTACATCACACTGTCCACACAGTGCCTTCAAACATACTTAGGAAAAAAAAAAAAAAATAAAAAAAATATCACCATTAACATGCCTATGAACTGTTTTTACTGAGATGTATTAAAACAATTTAGTAGTCTGAGGCACATACTGTCATGGAGGTCCAACTTCAGATGAGAGCTATAGTCTAAAAAAAAAAAAAAAACAAAAAACAAACCAAACAAACATTAAAGTAAACCTGGTTGCTATTGCCATAACAAGTGATAATAATAATTTTCTTGAAAAGACTTCATCCATCAAAATCCTTCTCCCCTCTGGGTATACACCTAATTATATTCTAAGTAAATCTGAATCCAGATGTTCAGATGTAAAATGCATGTCAAGAGTATTAAGAGCAAAATGACCATTGCATGGACAACAAGGCATTCAAAGGGCACCACTGGCCCTGAAGGGAGTGAGGACGTTCAGATTCCTTCAGGCATAAGAGGTGTAGGTGCTAATTTTCTAAGATGCTTAACTTATCTGTTAAACAAAAGTGAACAACCAAACTTCCTTATTTCAAACTTCTTTTTGTATTCTACACTCCCCACACACATACTGCTTTTTTGTTTTTCTAACTACATGGATTTGGCACTAAGAACAATTCAAGCATGAATCCCTATAAAAAGACAGTGCATGGGCAACAGACAGCAGATCTCCCAGAAAGGCTTTTGATTTATCTGAAGATGATACTGGAAAGAACACTTCTCTATTGGAAGAGAATGTCCAGTCACTTTATCGGCTATCTACTACAACCAAAGTAATTGATTAGGAATACTTAAACTTGGACACAGAGAAAAATCATGGATTCATTTGTATCAGACATTAACAAGCACCTCCATATAATGGGCTGACGATAAGCAATATTTTCAAGGTTACAAGCCTGAACTGGATATAAGAGGCAACAAGAAAGGTCCACTGTCACCATTTTTAATTTCAAAAAGTTAATAAATAGCTTTCGATTTGTGTAAGTAGTCATCTGGCAAGCTCTATGTTTGTTTGAATGACACCTTGTTGACTGATTGAAACACATCACAAAAGTTTAATTCTGGAGTACAGCAACATCCTTTGGCATTGATAATTGCCGAACACTGCACGAAGTACAAACACTGAAACTACAACCAGGTAGTTTACTGCTGAATACCCTCTCTACCTCAGTTATGGACTATGAAACCAGGACACAATATTAAGAATTCAGAAGACAGCAACTTCCTGTGTAACCCTAAATAATTTACTGAATCTTTCTGGCTCCCAGTTTTTCTATTTCTACATAAGAGATAAGAATGTTTAACTGCCTTTATAAAAAAGCTCTGCAAACTCTGATTCTTTTTTTAAGAAAACATTTTATTGGTGATCACTGTTTGTATTACTTGCTTGTATCATTAATTTACCTGATAGTTTTGTGCATACTGACACATAAACAAGGGCAAAAATTAAGTACTCTAACTACTGTATTTTGAAACTGAAAAACTAAGTTTCTTCATACAGTCCTGCCAACAGATCCTAAGGATTATTTTTTTTTTACCTATTGACTATACTGATGTAAAAATGTATTCATCTTTCCTTTCTAGGCAGTGATAATAAAAATAAAAGTCAAAACACAAACCCAACCAAAACAATCTAAAACAAAGCACAGGTATTTATCAGGAGTATGCCACTGAATCCTTTTCACTACACTGCCCAGTTTCACTGGATCCCCTTCTCTGTCCTTCACACACAAGAAGGAAACTCACCCCTTGCCAGGTAACACTATGATTATTTAAAATTACTGAGCATTTTTTACTCAGAAAATCTATTTGAAAGGAATCTCACATACCTTCATCACAAATTACCAATAGCAACACCCATTTCACAGATGAACCATTACAGATGCCAGTTTGGTTCTTGTTTACTCACAGAACTGCCCAGTACTGGCACTCAAGTGAAAGTCTGAGCTCTAACCCACCCTCTCACAGCCCATCAGGGCCAAATTCAGACAGCAAGTCGTAAGCTCTGATTTCCCCTCTCCTCTATTGTGCAATAGCTGTGATGATAGTTTCACTGTACTGAAGAATTGAGGCATACTGCATTCATCAAATTCACTATCAATACAATGGAAAGCTAAAACCAGTCCCCTTTCCAAACTCTGCCCTGTATAACTACTTATAAAGGCATACTAAAAAGACACAACTCCCTAGAAAGTGTACTTCCTGTATTACTATAACTTGTGTCTAGCCACCCATTCCTTCATTCACAAAGAAAAGATCCTTCTGTTTAGCTTTTCTCTCTTTTAAATAGTTCTTACAGGTGTATTATATTTTAAGCTTTAAAAATTTCAACCATAAAATGAAGTCTCAAAATACAAAACTAATGCTAGGGGGAAACTTTTGACCAACAGCATACTTCTGGTTCCACTAACATACTTGCAACACTGACCAAGGCTGCAGCTCTGTGCTGGGATTTTAAGAGTCTGCAAAGCCCCCTTTGTAAAACAGCTCATCAGATGTACAATGGTGTTTTCCTTTCTCTCCTACTCTCTCCTCACCCCTGTCTCCATCCTTGCTTTAGAGAGGGAAGATCAGAAAGTGCAGCTGTT